TTGTGGGATGCTTATATAAAGTGTTCTCAAAAGTGTTTTGCTAACCGTTTATAAAAAGTTTCGGACAAAACATTAGCCCGGAGCAAACGACCTATGTTGGAGGAAGAAGTATTTTGGATGGTCAGTGGTTGCATTACTAAAAAGGTGAAGAAAAAACCATTAATTTTCAAAGTTGGTTTTGATAAAGCGTTTGACTCTTTGATTTGGGAGTACTTTGATTAAGTTATGGAGCAAATGGAGTTTGGGTGGAAATTGAGAAGATGGATTAGGGGGTGTCTTTCTTTTAGTAGGGTGTTGGTTTTGATTAATGGCTCACCTACAAAGGAGTTTAAGATTATGAGAGGGGTTAGACAAGGTGACCTTTTGGCATCATTTCTTTTTATTATCATTATGGAAGGATTGCATGTTTCTGTGGAGGCGGCTTGTGACCTTCATTACTTCCGGGCCTTTCTCTTCCTAATAATGGTATGTTTCTCACATCTTATGTATGTCGATGATTTGACATTTGTTGGAGAATGGTCGGAACTTAATTTTGTAAACCTTAATAGATTGTTTCGTTGTTTTTTCCTTGCCTCGGGTTTGAAAGTTAATTTACACAAAAGTAAAATTTATGGAGTTAGTGTTGATAGTTTGGAAGTTAATAGACTTGCTAGAATCCTTATGTGTGAGCCACTTTTATTTCCTTTTGCTTATCTTGGGCTCCCGATGGGGAAAATATGAAAAATATGAAGCTTCCGGTGGAGGAAAATATGAAGCTTGCCAAAAATTGGAATCTGGTGGTGGATAAATTTAAGAAAATATTATTAAAATGGAAGGCAAAATCTTTATCTTTTGGCGGTTGTCTCACACTTGTGAACTCGGTTCTTAATAGCTTACATCTTTATTATTTTTCTCTTTTTAGAACTCCGAGGAAGATTCTTAACCTTCTTGATAGCATTAGGAAGAGGTTCTTATGGGGAGCTGATGATGATAAAAAGAAGTTAAATTGGATGTCTTGGGATGTTGTTACAAAACCCAAGAAAAAAGGCGGTCTTGGAGTTGTCAATCTTGACTCGGCTAATTTGGCACTTCTTACCAAATGGTGGCAGTAGCTAAGGAGTGGGTATAATTCGTTTGGTTTGTTTTTCATAAAGTCAATTCATAAGATAAAGCTTATTGATGGTAAACCTCTTGCCAAGAAATCCATGAAAGGTGTGTGGTTGAATACATCTCAAATCAACATGGAATTGAAAGTTAAAGGCATTTCTATTTCAGAGTTGTTTAAGAAGGTGGTTGGAAATGGTGATAAAACATTTTTTTGGAAAGATACTTGGTGTGGTAACATTGCATTAAAAGAGTTATTTCCTTATTTATATTCGTTGGAGACTAACAAGGATTGCCTTGTATTGGATAAAGTTAATGATGATGTTGATCATAATTCGAGGTGGATTGCCTTATTTATATCCGTTGGAGACTAATAAGGATTGCATCGGTAATGTTAATTTTACATGTGGCGCATGCATATGGCATTGGAAAAGTGATGGTGATAATGGCTTCTCGGTTAAAGATCTAAGGTTACTCATTAACGGACAAGGTGATGGTACGGTGAACTCTTTTTAACCAGGTACAATGGATCCCATTAAAAGTTAATTGTTTTGTGTGGATGATGCTTAAAAACAGTATTCTCATCTTTCCAAAGTTACTAAAACATGGTATAAATGTTTCATCGAGCTTGTGTCACTTCTATTGGGTGATGAGAGCCTAGGTCATGTTTTCTTTTCTTGTTGTGTAGTTTCGAAGCTATGAAAATGGTTGATGGAGTGGTCTAAAATGCTTCAAATGCAACCTTGCTCTTGCTCTGATCTACTTGAAATGTTGAGTTCGCAGGTTGATAGTAAAAAAAATTAAGAAGCTGAAGTTATAGCTTATCTACTCCACTCTATGGGTAATTTTGAAAGCCCGGAATATAGTTGTCTTCGAGAATGAAAGGCAAGCTATTATGCTTATGGCTGATTAAATTAGTATTAGCACTTAGGGGTGAGCATTTGGACCTGTGGAGACCGGACCTGACCGTTTTTTGGACCCCGGGTCAGTTCTCGGTTCTAGGATTTCAGCAAATCCGATCCGGTTTTTTTACCGGTCCGGTCCAGCTGGATTCGGGTAAAAACCGGTTTTGTTCCGACTTATTTTTAAAAAAACTGTATTTTGTAAAATTCTTTAAACCATGGTTGTCAAAATCGCGATCCTGATCGTAGGATCGTACAATCCTACAATCCTAGGTATGAAAAACGATATGGATCGTAAAAGGATCGTATTTGGGGTAGGATCGCAGATAGGATCGTAAGATCGTAGGTAGGATCGTAGGATCGAGATCCGATCCGATCCTACATTCCCTTGATTTTTTTATTTTATTATTATTTATTTTTTTTTGCAAATGAAATTTTTTTTTACCACTTTATGTTTTTTACCCTTTACCAATCTACCATTTATCATTTTTTATTGTGACTTATGACTATTTTGAATTTTTATAACTTTTAAACGAAAAATTAAATGTTTGAAATATTTTTTATGATTAAATATTACAAATTAAAATTATATTTTATTTTGTGGGATCTTAGGATCTCGATCCCGATCTTGCAAACCCAAAAACGATCTTAGGTAGGATCCCGATCTTGACAACCTTGCTTTAAACAAATATATTTCATTCGTTTTAAGTCGGATTAACGTACGGTTTTTTCCAACGTGTAATTTAGAGTTTATAGATGATTTTAGACTGTAAATTTTGTTGTTTTTAGTATTATATTTGATGAGTTACAATCCTTCAAAGATGAGATATCAAAGCTGAAATATTTCCGCTTTTCAGCAAGAAAATTTAAACTTTTGTATTCTGTGAAATTCTTTAAACAAGCAAATCTCATTCTTTTTAAGTCGGATTAACATTCGGTTTTTTCTAACGTGTAATTTAGAGTTTGTATTTTTAGTCTATAATTTTGTTGTTTTTGGTATTATATTCGATAAGTTATAGTACTTTAAAGATGAGATATCAAAGCTGAAATATTTCAGCTTTTCAACAAGAAATTTAAACTTTTGTATTATGTGAAATTCTTTAAACAAACATATTTCATTCGTTTTAAGTCGGATTGACTTGCGGTTTTTTCCAACGTGTAATTTAGAGTTTATAGATGATTTTAGACTATAATTTTGTTGTTTTTGGTATTATATTCAATGAGTTATAATCCTTCAAAGATGAGAGATCAATGTTGAAATATTTCAACTTTTCAGCAATAAATTTAAACTTTTGTATTCTGTGAACTTCTTTAAACAAGCATATCTCATTTGTTTTAAGTCGGATTGACATTCGGTTTTTTCCAACGTGTAATTTAGAGTTTGTAGATGATTTTAGACTATAATTTTGTTGTTTTTGGTGTTATTGTTAATGAGTTACAATCCTTCAAACAAATGGTATAAAGTATAAATAATAAAATTTTAACCGGTCCAAAGAGCACAATAAACGAAAACGTATTCATTTTTACAAGTTGTATCGTATCAAACCCTAAATAGTATTCATTTTAATGAGTTGTAACGTATCAAACCCAACAACATATTTGTTTTAAAGAATTGTATCAAACCCAAAAACACGTTTTAACAAGTTGTACCATATGCATATAAAGTTGTACCGGTTCAAACGGGTCCAAGAACCGGAAAATCCGGACCTGGACCCGGTAAGTATCATCGATAAGTATCATCTGGTACGGTCAACGGTCCACAATATTATTCGAAACCGGTCCGGTCCAAATGCTCACCCCTATTAGCACTTTTAATTGGATAAAAAATAGAGCTAAGTCGTATAACCTTAATCGGTATATATGGGCTATGTCTCCTATTTCAAATGTTTTCTTGTAATTGGTTTGAGCTCCTCGCTTCAGTCTTTTGTTACTTTGTGCTAATGAATTTTGCTTGCCGTTCCCAAAAAAAATATTAAGTTTTTTAAAAATAAATCACATTAGTTTAAACAAGTTTTCACAACCTATGTCTTACGAATTACGAAGCAACTAATTACAAATTATATCTACTCTATTTTATTTAAACTTGTTATAATAAAAAATGTATTTTCATCAATTAAATATTAATGTATATTTTGATTTGATGTTTTTTGTATGTAGTTGTAGTTGGAAGAATATTGGAGTAATGACTCATAACATAAGAAATTATGCTGTTTTAATTGTAAAAAAAAAAAAAAAACAGATCCTTAAACTTAATATTTATGTACAATGGTACTGACTATTACATGTTAAACTGCGAATAATATAGTCGCTACTTTACTAGATATTTTGTTGGATAATTTAAAAACATTGTTATTGGTTAAAAGTAAGTAAACAAATTTGTTTTAGATAAATAATTATGAAACAAACAAAAAATTGATAACGGGTCCATGTTATAAACTTCAAATAAATTATTATTAAAAAAAAAATTATATAATGGATGTGACATGACATGGTTTTATAGAGGAGGGACAAGTGCTATCAGGATTCAGGTATGTACTAATGGAATAAAAATTTAGGGTTAAATGCAAGAAATAACATTGTATTTTCATTTTTTTACTTATTATAACAATGAAAATTGATTAGATTTAAATGGCATTCTTTAATCAGATATATTTTTCTAAAGTACAATGTTATAATTGAAAGAAATGAAAGTAAAATGCTATAATAAACAAATCAACAAAAGTACAATTCTATTTCTTGCATTTAACTATAAAAATGTATGCAAAAAGTAATTGACATTAAGTAGAGGAACTTACTAGATTGTTCTTCACTATGTTCCATTGATGATCACTCTATCTGACTTGAAACATGATTGTAACATAAAAATTGAAGTAAAACCACATTTCAATAATTTTCTTTATGAATAATGGCATTATCAAAATTCAAAAGGAAAAATTTAAATTTTCTATCATACATATAGTAAAACACAGAGATTATCAAATTATTTGGCAGAATGATTCTGGAAAACAAGAATCAAAATCAAACATGGAACTTCCATTCAGAGAACAATGAGCTTCAAAGATTTAACAAACTAATAACCTGAACCCTTTACATTCATATGTATCATACAAACTTTTATGTTTGAAATCATAGACTCAAATCAACCATTTTTATTATATAATTAGTACATTATAGATTATACCTCGAACTGAGGCTTCTTTTCTCTTCCAAGTAGATTGTGATTTGATCAATTTCATCTGTCTCTACTCTCTAGTCTCTGCTTCTGCAACAGATGAAAGCATCAGAAACACCCAAGAACAGATTTATGAAATCCACTCAGAGAAAAGAAATTACATCTCATGGATGCTGGGAAATGGAGATATGAAGAAAGATTATACCTTAATAGTATGAACTGTGAAGTTTAAACTCGATATGAATCAGCTGAAATTCCAACCAAGTATAGCCCAGGAAAAACATTCTGCGATTTGAAACAGATAATCAATTAATCATTGAACAATGAACATAATCAGTCGAGGAAGAAGAAGATTTTGAAATTTATGAGCTCTGGAGCAACAGACATACATCGACTTGTTTCTGCGCGGTTTTGTTCCTTTTCTTAGGCCTTCGAGCTGGTTTTGATCCAGTAAACGCATATACATCTTCTTCAATCTCTTCCTTCGACAACGAGATCCATAATCTCCTCTTCTTCTTCATCTGATCCTCTTCCTTCTCCTTCTCCTTCTCCTTAATCTTCTCCTCATCCGCCGCCGCCGCCGCCGACGCACCACCTCTCAACAACCACCCTGACTTTGCACTATTCACCCCCATAACCGCACCATTACCATCAACAGTATTGATCACGAACCTCCTCGGCCTCAGATTCCACGGCTTAACGTCTCCATCAGCTGCCGCAGCCACATCCGATGATTTCCCGGTGTTATCGCCTCTATCCAACAAAACTCCCCCGTTTTCTTCCTCATCTTTCGTTTTTGTGTCTTTACTCTCCCGATTATGAAACCGATGAGGTTTACGGTCATTATTGAGGTCTGAGTCGGTGAGAGGAAAGTTGCGGTAGCGGCGGCGGCAGTTGTTGTTGATTTGGGTTCTCTGTCCCCATTTTAGGAATGGAAGCGAGAAATTATGCAGTCGTTGCTGATTCTTCGTGGGCACCGTCGCCATGATAGCTTATTTGTACGGGTATATGTTTACAAAGCAGATAGAGAGAGGTAGAGAGAGGGGGGATGGGGGAGAGACTACTCACTCCTCCATTAACAATCTGCAATTCTTCTTCCGCAGGTAAATGAGAAGCTTAAGAACCCTAAAACTGGAACGTAGTGAGAGAGAAAGATACAAGGGAATGAAGAGGATGAGGAGGTGACGGAGGGTGTGTAATTGTGTATGGAAAGGCGGAGGGAGTTGGTTGGGTGTGGGTCTTATACAAAAAAACATGACCAGCAAGACTCGTGACTGTTGATCCAAAGACTTCGAGTATAACTTAGGGAAATATATTAGAAAATAAAAGAAAAAGTGGTTACATACATAAAAAGAATGTAAACATGTAATGCTTTTTGTATAGTTTGTTTTCAACTTTTTATTTATATATTTTTTCTATGTCGATTATATTGATCTTCATTATATTTTGTTAGTTCTTGAGAAATTGCTATCATTCAGCAGTATAGGTTGCTATACATTTGGTAGTAGAGGATGTAGCCAGTAGAGCCAATCAAACCGATATTGAAAATCGAAAAAACGACATAGAAAAACCGAAACCGAACTCAAACCGTCGGTTTTGGGTTTAGAATTTTCGAAACCGAAAAATTCGGCTTGGGTTCGGTTCTGGGTTTAAAACCAATCCAAGCCAAAAAACCGACTCGGTATACATATTATTAATTATTTAATGAGTATATATTTTAATAAATGTTATATGTTTTATTAAAATAATAAATATACAAAACTTTCAAAATCCTAACCCCGTTGTTTACTAACGCTCCTCTCGTCTCACTCTCTCAGCATCTCATATTCACAAGCACAATTGCATCAGGAAGACACATACCCTATCTCTAAGTCGGTAAATCTTCTACTTGATCTAATAAGACCCAAGCAAGATAAAGGCTCTCGAGCCTCAACGTAAGGAAGACAACTATGTACTGAATTTGTTTCATGTTATTTAGGATTCCTGGAAAATGGGTTGAAACCCAAAACAACCCATGTGTTGCAAAATATGTTTCTTCCCCAATGGGTTGAGGGCTCAAGTCTAGTAGTATTTAGAGAGAGAGAGAGAGAGAGAGAGAGAGAGTGTGTGTGTGTGTGTGTGTGTTAGCCGTTAAAAAAACATGGGTTGAACCAAAAAAACGACCTATAAACCCAAAACTCAAACTCGTTCAAAAACCGAACCCAATGGGTTTGAAAACCTAAAAACCGAAATTGTCGGTTTGGGTTCGGTTTCAACCAAATTGTAACGTCCCCAAATAATGATAAAAAAGTCCATTTTAAAAATCAATAGTTCAAACATCAAACTGTTCCAAAACATTCACAATGTACAATATCCAAAATCATCAGAGTAATAATATCCAAAAAGTACGTAATCATGAGGGGAGGATGTTGTGTCATCACGTCGGGCCCTTCCCTTTCGAACCGGAAGTACCTGAAATCATAAACATAAATTGTAAGCACAAGGCTTGGTGAGTTCCCCCAAAAGTACCACATACCAATCATACAATTGGTCTTAACACTGGGGTGTGTTCCAACCCGATATACATATATGGGCCCTACCCTGGGGCCTCGCCATGGGGGTTTATTTCAACCCAATCATCATATATGGGCCTTGTCATGGGGTCTATTTCAACCCAATCATATCATAGTGGGCCCCGCTCTAGGGTTTATTTCAACCCGATCATAAAATAGTGGGCCCCGCTTTGGGGTCTATTTCAACCCGAACATGCAACACATATAAGTCACATAACAGCTATCATCTTACATAACACAATGATGGGCCGGCGTTGATGCCTTCTGTGACAACCGTCAATTTTGGCCAAGTCAAAGTCAACTAAAGTCAACAAGTCAAACCGATCAACTCATCTAACCCTTGTATATTGGGGTTTCCATTATGTTTCTTATCGAACAACTCGCAATCTTAATACGAAGTATCACTTGGAATTTTCACGTGTTCGGAAACTCTAAACCCTAATCAGGGCAAGTGATGAAACTACTCAATAAAACATTATTCCTTAACCCTCGGGGGCATATAACAATCATAACAAGACTTAACGAGGTTTACAAACCTTGCGTTACAAAGCCAAACACTCAAAAAGGTCACAAAAGAAGTCTCTCCCAATCTCTTTCACTCTAACTCTCCCGAAACTCTCTAAGTATGAGAAATCTCTCCAAGAATGTCAAATCTCTCCCAAATCTCTCCAAGAATGTGAAATCTCTCCAAAATCTCTCTCTGTATGAGAAATCTCTCCAAGAACGTCAAATCTCTCCCAAATCTCTCTCTGTATGAGAAATCTCTCCAAGAGCGTCAAATCTCTCCCAAATCTCTCTCTGTATAAGAAATCTCTCCAAGAACGTCAAATCTCTCCCAAATCTCTCCAAGAATGTGAAATCTCTCCAAAATCTCTCTCTGTATGAGAAATCTCTCCAAGAACGTCAAATCTCTCCCAAATCTCTCTCTGTATGAGAAATCTCTCCAAGAGCGTCAAATCTCTCCCAAATCTCTCTCTGTATAAGAAATCTCTCCAAGAACGTCAAATCTCTCCCAAATCTCTCTCAAAACCTCTTTTGGTTTTTTTTTTCGTAATCAATTGGGGCGTCCCGACACTTGACTTGGTGAAAAACCATGCGAAACGGGAAGATACCTTGGAAAATAGCCTCTTAAGGCCGGAGCCCTTCTATAGGGATCAAACCCTCCGTGAACCGGAGTCTCCTTGAGGAGCCGCGGCCATCTAGCCGCAGCCGCAACCAACAAGCCGCAGCCAGCAGCCGCAACCGCAACCAACAAGCCGCAGCCAGCAGCCGCCGACCGCAGCGGCATGGAGCCCGCATCCGATGTTCGCCTCCGGTTCTCCTGACTTCGGACCGCAGCCTCTTAACTTCGGACCGCAGCGCCTTCCTTTTGCATCCGCGACTGAGCTCCACTTCGGGTCCATTTCAGCGACCAAGACCGGAATCACCTCCTGACTTCGGATTTTGCGTTTTTCACCCGGTTTTCGACTAGTTTTGCGTTTTAAGCCCGTTTTTAATTATTTTAACGCGGGATTTTCTCCAAAAATAATATTTTAACATATAAGACCCTAAATATTCATAATTTAAATATATTTTTATGGAAATCTTTATTTAAGAATAAAATCTAGTGGGTGAATAATTGAGGTGGAGTGTTGACTTCTCTTTAGTTTATGACACAAGCAACCACCTCATGCCCACTCCATGACCAGCTATTGTCCTTACACCATACCTGGTCATTCAAGAGTACTTTCCCCACCATTTGACCAGACACACTATTGGTCAAGGGTTGGAAAACCCCCTCTCTCCTCACACTTCTCGCATTTTCACACTTTTCACCAAAGATCAAACACACCTTTTCTCTCAAACTCTCTCTCACAAATTCGAGATTTCCAAGGCATTTTCCAGCTTTTCTCCTTCATTTGGTAAGTATCATCACCCTCCTTATGGTTATTACATTTCCTTTTACTCAAATCATTGATTCCTTACACAAACTCCATCAATAGGGTGTTAGATTCTCGAATCTTCAAGCAATCCTTCTAGTGTTCTTGAGTTGAACACTTCTCTCCTTCAACCTCCATCCACTGAAATCACACAAAGCGAGTTCATACCCCTATCTTTTCATGTTTTTCTTAAGTTTTAAGGGGGGGGAATACAAGTAAAAACACTAAGAACACAACTAAACTCATTTAACAGTCTTCATCAGAAAAGTTCAACTCCATTCACGGACTGTTTTGGTCAACTTAAACATTTTAGTTTTCAAAACTGTATTAGGTGCAAATAGTTCAGGTTCATACCTTTAAAATGACTACTTGCACATTACCATACGATTTTTCTACGATTTATGGTGATTTTTACAAAACTGCCTATCATTTCAGAAACAAATTCGGACCAGTCTGTGAATATGAACATTTTAACATAAGTTAAAGACTTCTAAAAACCATAATAAAAATTATGAACAAACTAGACACATTTTGTGAACTCTCAGAATTTACGGATTTAGTTTTCGACTTCGTATGATTTTTATATAATTCTTCTAAAACAGTGTAGAAAGGTCAAAATCTAGATAACAGCTTTTAACTTTCAACACACTTTGTAACATGTCGAGCAAAGTGTTAATCTTTGATGACTTCATATTTTTACATGTGTTTCTTGTTGTGGTATAATTTATATAACAGAAAATACCCACTGAAGTGTAAGAATCCTCCACCATTACCATTAGTACAAAACAAAGCAAGATAAACATAGTTATATTTTACTATGCCTTCGACTTACGTAGAAAAAGGTTCTTATACACCACAAACAAACATATTAAACTATAATAGGTATAGTTAGGTTGCATATACATTTCAAACTTTTTGATAAACTATAATAGGTATAGTTTATGTTCATTTACGTTACAAAAGGTTTTCATACGAAAAGGGGTACAAATACAAAGTACCGGTTTTATACAAAAAGGGGTAGAAATACAAAGTACCAGGTTTTCATACGAAAAGGGGTACAAATACAAAGTACCGGTTTCATACCAAAAAGGGGTACAAATACAAAGTACCGGTTTCATGCAAAAAGGGGTACAAATACAAAGTACCAGGTTTTCATACGAAAAGGAGTACAAATACAAAGTACCGGTTTCGTACCAAAAGGGGGTACAAATACAAAGTACCAGGCTCACACAAACTAGTTTTATGATATTAAAACTATATTTCATTAAGAATTGATAGACTTCAGCTATAATTGCTAAGTGTATATGCTAGAGTTTTATAAGAATCTAGTTACGATCGACTTAGAATTGGTGGGTCCGCCTCATCTCCTGTTCCTTGTTTGGTTGTGGACCTAGGGCAGACCCATTATATTCAACGGTTTATTCAACTTAAATTTTATATAACTTATATACACTGGGCGGTTATAGAAGGAATCTATGGGTCTCTCTAGGATTCATTATCGCATAACATAGAAGCATTCATTCCACTTAATAAATAAAATATTGGATTTTCTGGAAACATACTTTGTCGCTTTTACAAGGAAAACGGTTTCTTTCTCAAACAAAACTCTTATGAACTCACCAACTTAATTGTTGACACTTTTTCAAAACTACTTGTATTCTTAGGAAATCAGTGAAACATGAAAACATCAGCATTTTGAGGATGGGACGATAAATCGTCAAACGTTTCATTTTGTCATCATAATGTAATT